GTCGTTGGGGCGGGGCAGGTGAAGCAGGCGAGTGGGTCGTGCTGCCTGCGGAGCGCCAATGTCAGAGTGAATGTGTCAGCGTCAAGGCTGAGTTGTTGGGTGTGTACTCCGGCGTCGTGGGCACGAGCGAGGCCTAGTCGAATAGCGGGGGAGGGGCCTTGGCGCGGGGGCGCACAAATGCCGGGGAGCACTGGGAATCTCCGTGTGGTTTGTGGCTCAGCGTTGCGCCCGTAATGGGAGGCGATGCCGTGTGGCCGCGGGTACGCCATTCCTCCGGGGGGCATTTCGTGTTGGTGGCCGCTGCCCATTTCTCTGCAACTGCACTCGCTCCGTGCGTGCCCGAGCGTGTGGGCAGAGACAGAGTGGGATGAGTGAGATGGCTTATTGGGGGGGGGGGGCGGTAACTGCTTTTTTTCTTTCAGCTCTTGTAGTCTCTACACGCACGGAAAGAGAAACTGCATCTAAGCATTCATTCTGCTAACCTGCCTGTGCATTGCTTTCTTCTTTATTCTTCTTTCTGTCGTCACAATCCGAAGAAAAAAAAAAGGTTTGGTCCCCGTCGTCGGGGTGCTCGCAGACACGTAGCCATAGAGCCCGATTATAAATTTTGCTTCTGGGCCAGTTTTTTCCCGAAGCTCAGCCGAGGAGAGATTTTTTTTCCTTGTTTTCTGTTGCGAAAATTTCTTGGGGCACCCGACGAACGACAACGGAGAAAGTAAGAAAAAATACGGGTAACATCTCCAGAGGAAAAGAGAAAAGGGCCCGAAGGCTGTAAAACTCGTGTGGGGACCGGTGGAGACACAAATGACAACTTTTCCCGACGATGTGGAGACCTTGCAGAAGCGGCTGCAGCTGAGTGAGGAGTGGAATATGCGACTGCAGAGTCAGATTCAGGAGCTGCTGCGTCTTTCCCGCAGTGAGGTGGAGGCGATGCGTGACAGAATGCAGAATCCCGACATTGCCATTCCGCTTCTGCAGTGCTACGATGCCGCCATTCTGGAGAAGCAGGAGGAAAATGAAAAGCTGCAGCGAGAGATGAGCAGGCTGAAGGCAATGCTTGAGAATACCACTAGTGAACTGGGGGAGGCACGTGAGGCTGTGCGTGTTGCGGAGGTGCAATTAAAAGACTTGCGCATGCAGGCCCAAGAGGAACGCAGCTGCCTGGAAGAGGCCAAACACGAGGTGGATCGTGAGGCCGCACAGCTGCGACGAGAGTTGTCCCGCTCACTCGACGCAGAGGCAGCTCTGAAGCACGAGACGGAGCAACTGAAGCGAGAGCGGAGCGCGCTGCAGGGCGATGCCGCGCAGATTCAGCGGAATACCGAAACACTGGAGGAGGAAGCGAAACACGCACAGTATCGACTAAAGACAATTGCAAGTGAAAAGGAGGAAACACAGCAGCAAGGGGAGCTGCAACGCATTCAGCTTCAGCTGCTAAGCAAAGAGAACGAGGACAAGCTACAAGAGTTAGAGCGCCTAAGGAATAGAATGGTGCAGGCACTGCGTCAGGCCGCCGATAACCACGTGGCGCATCTCCGTGTCTTGGAGGAAAAGCACCGAGAGGCGATGGAGGGGCTGCGCACACAGTTAACTACACAAGAGCTTGAGGTGCAGAAGCTGCGTGCACAGTTGGCCCGTGTGGATGCAAGCGGCAATGGCGGCCGTTACGCTTTGAACCTACGCACAACTACTGAGGTGTTGGAGGCGCAGACGAGACAAGCCCAGGAGATGGAGCTGAAGCGTCTCTATGGCGAGATCTCGAACATTCAACTTCAGCGAGACGACGCATTGCTTCGATACGAGCAACTTTCGAGTAGTTTGCGTCGCGAAGAGGCTGATCGTCTTACTGAGGCGCAGCGGGAAACGCAGGCGGTGCGGCAGAAACTGCGTGATCAGGAGCAAAAGTATGAGCAGCTTGCAAAGGGGAACAGCCGTGTGAAGGATGAACTCCGTGCGCTTCGAGAAAAGTACAAGAGCCAAACGGGAGACTTGCAGCGTGCCCGGCAGGAAAGGGAGGAAACCTTTAAGAAGATGGAGGAACTGCGGCGCGCGCTGGCCACGGCTGAAGAGGCGTATGAGCGGGTGCAGTCTGAGGCAAAGGATGACACGGCGAAGGAGCGTCAGCGTGTGCGGGAGGTGGAGCAGCGCGTGGACGAGGTGCTGCGGGAGATGCGGGCGTCGCGGGGCCGTGCCAACGCCGCGACAGTTGCGGTGGAGCGGCAGCGGGATGAACTTCGCAAGCAACTCACGGATTCGCAAGAGCGTTTGACGGCGGTGCAAGCGCGATTGTCAGCGCGGGACCGCGAGGTGGAGGTGTTGGCAGCCAAAGCTGAACATCTTCAGGAGGCCGTGCGGATGAACCAAAAACAGGCGTTATCGTGCGACGAACGTGTGCAGCAGCTCTTGGCGCAGGACGAGGAGAAATCGCGGCAATTGCGGGAGATGACCTTGACGGTTGAGCGTCTCAAGCGGGAAGCCGCCCGCGTTGCACGAGCCCGTGATAGACTTATAGAGGACGTGAATATTCGATTTTAATGCCTTGTGTATTAGTTATTTTTTACTTGAAGCGATGTTTTTTTGCTTGCATGTTTCACTGGTGTCATGGTTGTTTGAAGTATTGTTTGTGAACGCGTTTGGGTTGGGAGCCGCTGGCGGTTTTATTCCTCGCGTTGTTTGATATATATATATATATATGCATAGATGAGTTTATATGTGCCTCTCTGTGGGCGTAGTTGTGTGTGATGAATCGTGGGGCGTGGCTGCAGGCTAGCCGTTGGGTGGACGCTGCCGACTTGTCTCCTCGCGAATGAAGTCAGTTGTTGTTTTACTCTTCTCTTTCTTCTACTAATTCTTTGTTCTGTTTCTTTCTTCGCCCTTTTTTTTTGCCAGTGCCAACGGCACGCCAACCGGCAGCAGCGGTAGGAGAGCAACGGGTTCTTTGAGGCGCATCGTGCTGCGTCGCGAGCCTCGACGCCATGGAGGGGACTGTGCCGCCCGGCAGCAACCCCGAAGCGGTGGTGAAGGCAAACGGCGAAGCCGTCTGCAGCATCACGGCGAAACAGTGGGACACAGTCGCCGTGTGGTCGTGGAATGTGCAGGTAGGGACGTGTGCCATTTGCAAGAGCTCCATAGCGGACCGCTGCATTGAGTGCTGTGGGATGGGGGATCGCCTCACCAACAGCAACACTGCCATCGCAGAGCCCGGGAGCAGCAGCAACTGGGTCGGCCGCTCCCCCCGCAACCAACTGGCGTCAAGCGCTGGCTCCACGCAGGCGCGTCCACAGCAGCAACCTCAGCAGGGGCCCACGGTGGTGTCCGCGGAGTTGGCGTGGAGCGGCGATGTCGCAGGGGAGTGTCTCATCGTCTGGGGCGTGTGCAACCATGTGTTTCACCTTCACTGTATCTCGAGGTGGGTGCGGCAGCGTCCGCAGTGCCCCATCTGTGGAAGGGGGTGGGAGGTCGCCAAGACCACCAGGAACGACTACTGACGCGTGAGTAAAGTGTGCTGCTGGGGGTGGGGGGGTGGGGGGAGCTGAAACCGCGACGAGAAAAAAAAAGCCCACAGGATAAGCAGCATCAGCGAGAGAGCGGGGAATTACATTTGTGAAGTAGGCCCCATAGAAGCGTGCATCGGAGTGAGGGTGCAGAGGACGGCGGTTGCTGTTCAGGCGTTGCTCTGGAGGACAATTGGGGGTGACGTTTTCGGAAATGTCATTTTGTTGTCGTTGGTTTAGTGCGCGTGCATGTAAGCATCTTTCTGCCTTTCTGCTGCTTGTGCGGTTGTGGCTTTGTGTGCCTCGCAGGTGCCGGCAACGCCCCCTTCACCCGAACAAGAGAGGAAGAGAAGAGCGTGTGTGGCTAGGAAGACGAATCTGTTTTTTATTACATTTTCGTTCTTCGGCATTGGCGCTGTTGTTTATATATATATATATATATATTTAAGTAGTTCTGCGCGCTCATGGTTGCTGCTGCTATTTTCTATTTTCTTCTTTTTTTATTTGACAGCTCTCTTGCTTCCGTTGTTTTTATTGCCTCGCTTTTCTTTTCTTTGCTTCAGTTGAAGAAGGAGCGGGCGAAAAGGATTCCCCTGCCCTTGCACGCACTGTCTGCGGGCGCGCAGTAAAATCACGTGTTTTCGTTTTGTTGATTTCTTCTTAGTCTCTGTCTATCCAATGACGCGTGTGAGTAACTGCGCCGATCAGAGCTATATTCCCGTCAAGATGAAGGAGGCGGTGCTTTTCTTCGCGTACGAGAACCCGGTGATCGCGGCGCTTGAGTGCCTTGTGTGCAAGTTGCACCTGGAGGAATCTTGCCTGAGCTGTCGCGAGAAGGGAAGGGCCGTGGAGGACTGCCCCGTGGTGCGTGGGACATGTGAGCATACCTTTCACGAGCACTGCATAAAAAGTTGGTGCCTTCAGCGGGGAGAGTGCCCGGTTTGCTTTAACGTGTGGGTTCCCGCAAGTTACATCCAACGTTCATGACTCTCCCTTTTTTTCCCCCGTCTCTAGCTCTCGCGGTGCGTCGGCGGGACGCTGCGGTGCAAGTTCTGAAGGGGGAAACGCGGAGCGGCAAGAGCAAACAAATTGTGCCACTCATTCCCTGCTGTTTCACCAGTCTTTTTCTCTCCCTGTTGCGGTGTGGATGAGCTCTTTTTTTGTGTGTGTGTGTGTGTTTTGTTTTATGATGCTGCGGTCCTTTTCTCCGCTTGCGCTTGTGAAATCTGCCCCGTTGTTTTTTTTTTGTATGCTCCTTTTTTTCTTGCCTTTGCTCTTTTGGCGCCTATGCATCGCTTCCTTCCGCCTGCCCGGAAATCTCAGAGGTGAGAGGTGGAACATACACACCCGCACACACCTACACAGAGAGGGAGAGGGAGACACAGAAGGCTGCGTGGGTTTATATGCGTATGTGTGCGGTTTGAAGAGAGAATTTTGGGGAAGTATACGGTGCCGGAATTGACGTCATCGTTTCAGAGCTGCAGGGAATCCATCCGTAAGGAGCAAACTAATAAACAAAGACCTTCTGACATACATAAGTGCACTTTCGCATGCCCCCGCCGCCAAAGAGCTGTCGTGCGTTGGCGACATCCGCCGTGCTTATAGAGACCTCCGCTGGTGCCTTTGTAGTTGATCTTTTTGGTCTTGATTGCCCTGCAGCAACGGCGGAATTTGTCAACCTGTGCCGCTGCAAGTACTTCAATGGCTGTATAGCCACAGAGGTGGTACCTGATAACATCATCACCTTCTCACACCCAGTAGAGCCGCTGAGGGGATTGACGTTTCACTCCTTGGTGGAAATGGCACGTCCACACACGCAGGGGAATGGGGGGACATCGATAGGTAATGTAGAGCAATTAATGTGGGGAGAATGGGAGCGGATGAGGCGGCATACGGCGCGTCTGCGGCAGCGCCACGGGACGACGTCAGTGGAGTTTTTACCGCAACCCCCCACAGGGGAGGCGGGGTCGATCAATCGTCGGGGGCTACTACTTCTCGAGGTGCCGCAGAAGGCGGCTCTGACAGGCGGCGGCGCTGCTGCTGCTCGAACAAGCGCTCTCGTTGTCACGTTGGGAAATCGGCACCTTGACTACTTTGAAGACCGCTTTATGGTGGTAGGTGAGGTGCGTGAGGGCATTGGCGTTATTGAAAAGTTGCGGGCGGCTCCGTATCAGCGGCCGTCTTCCGCGTCGGCGCTTGGGACGCGTCTCACTCGGCTTGTACGCATCAAGCATGCGACTACATTGCCTACGGCGGGGACGGAGGGGTTTCCAGATGTCTGGTGTAACGGCAGTAGTGGCGGTCCTGCCTCGCTGCAGTCGAGTAACTTGGGGCCGAGGCTGATAGCGGCGGGTTGCTTTCGCCACTGGGCCGCACAAAAGACGGTGCGGGTCGCGAATCGTGCGCTCATTAAAATCATGCGAGATGCCTCGGCTGCGGAGGGAGAGGCAAAAGAATCCCAAGGCACCAACTTCATTTTGATTCCTGAGGACCCTCCGCAGGAGGCACCGCACGCGATGAGTGATGCGTATGAAGTGCAGTCTGTTGAGTACAACCCGCATTACAGCGGCGACTACCTTAGCTCCGATGATGAGGCCTCACACACGGAGTCCCGAAAGGAACGTGAGAGCAGGCATCAGGCGATCATGCGAATGCATCAGGACAAACTCAATGAGACTCGCGCCCTTATGCTTAATCTGCTGGACGGCGTTGCGGATGTCGCTGGGGAACTAAAGCCGCCGGAGAATGTGCTCTTCGTGTGCAAACTGAACCCGCTCACCACTGATGAGGGACTCAAGATGTGCTTTTCGCAGTACGGCCGTGTATTGTCGGCGGACGTGTTGCGAGACCACAGGACAGGCAACTCGTTGCGTTACGGCTTTGTCGAGTTTGAGGACGCCGAGGCGTGTTACCGAGCCTTCAATAAGATGGACCAGGCCCTCGTGGACGACCACCGCATTCATGTGGACTTCTCTCAGTCCGTGTCAAAGTTGTGGGCGCAGCGGCAGCGCGAGCTGCGGAAGAGGGCTCGAGCGGAGAACTGACGGCTGAGGGTGAGAGGAGAAGTGTTGAAAGAGCAGAGAACACGCAAAGAAACGAACAAAACTTAAAAAAAAAATGTTTGTGTGTGTGTGGTGACTTGGAGGGAAGAGGCGGGAGATGAGGGAGGACGCGCTGCTCCACGCGAGAGACACATTCTGCAGATGTGAGCTGGCGTCTTAGTTTAGTTTCTTGCATGCCTACACACACTTCCTCTCTCCGCTGCTTCCTTCTTCACAAAATGTATATATTTCAACCTGCTCGCCTTCCAATCGAACAAGGCGCAGCGGGGCAGGGATGGAGGCTGCAGTAGCAGCGTCATCGGCAGCAGCAGCGGCGGACATGACAACAACAGCCGTCGCTGTCACAGCAAGGTCCAAAACACAACACAAACAGAGGCTCACCGTTGTTTCCTCCGACACCGACTTCATCAGTCCAGAAGTCGTGGCGGCCAACACGTCCGCTGCTCTCACAGCTGAGGCTGTGCGCCGCATGGAGGTTTTTGTGCTGCAGACAATACACGAGATTGTGAGTACAACGCGGCAGTCAACACTGCGGGAAAATAGGCTCAATGTGATACGGTTGCAATTTTTGGTGCTCCGCCTTCTTTATCACAATCTTCATCTTGGAATAATCAGCACACAACGCGATGTCTATTACCACCTTGCCCGCCTTGTTCCTGATCAGAGTTGTATTAACCGGGCTATACAACAACTCGTACAGATACTTGGTATTCCGCGGCAGTGGCTCGGCGTCGTGCCTGGAACGCGCGGCTGTGTTGGCGGGTCACTGAGTTTTCACGGTGTTGATCTGCGGTACGGGGGATCGGAGGGGTTGCCGCTGCCAACGACGCAAGAAGAGCTACGCGTCGTAAGGGGTGGTGGTGCCGAGGGCACAGCTGGAGCGAAGCGCGAGGAGGACGCCGTTGCTGGCTTTGAGCTCCATGGACAGACACGCTGCCTCATTGTTGTGGAGAAGCACGCCATATTTTTTAGACTGATGGAGGAGCGAATTTTTGAACGACTTCCATGCGTGTTGCTCACGTCTCACGGTTTTCCGACTGTTGCGGCCCGAACACTTTTGTCCAATTTGCACCGAGCCGCCCCGCGTGTCCCCGTTGTGGCACTTGTTGACTACAACCCAAGTGGACTCGCTATTTTGCAGCAGTACAAGTATGGCGCAGGTGGCATGCGTGAGAGCCAGTACACTGCTGTGCATGCTCTTCATTGGCTCGGTTTGCGAAGTCCTCACATTTTACAGGCGCCTGACCCAGTTGTTGTTGCATCGCCCCCGCTTCCGGCTTCGAAGACTTCTCCTACTACCTCTCCTCATCCTCCCCCCCGGCGTCTGCTGCCTCGTCTTCCCTTTCAGCATTTCACTCAGCGCGATACCGCGATGATGGCGAATCTCTTGTCCCGGTGGCGTGGCGTAAGCGAGGGCTGCGAGGGGGCCGACGCCGACGCCGTCAAGGCTTGGTATGCGGAGGCCCTAAAAATGCGGCACCTGCAGGTGAAAGTTGAGCTGGAGGTATTGTACCAGCATGAAGCCGAAGAGTTGATGCAGGCGTCGTCGTCTTCATTGCGGCTCTCAGATGGGCACGGGTTTGCTGCCTGGGTGTGTCGAATCATCCTTCGCCATGACTACCTTTGATCTTGGATGAATGCGGCAGATGGGTAAACGGTTTTTTCTACCTTGTGGGCATATTATTATTATTTTTTTCATTGATTGTTGCGTAAATAATAATAATGGCACGTATTTATGTTTTTATTTTCATTTTTTTACTTTGATGTTTCAAATGGAGGCAAGTATGTGCCGTAATTTTTGACCCCCCCCCTCCCGCTTCCTTTTGTTTTTGTTTTTGTTTTATTTTTGCATGATTTTGCGCGGATTTTACTGACTAGCTGAGGGAGAGAACTGACGAGCATTTATTACTATTTTTATTGCGCCGTTGCAGCTTCCCCTCCCTGGATTTTTTCTTCTTCGTTGCTCGACGCAGCGACAGGCTGAAGCAGGCGGGCGGTGTTTTCTTCTTCTGCTGCTGCCGCTGCCTCGCACGGAGGGTGAGGGACGCTGGCTATTTGTGCGAGGAGCGGAGGAAACGTGTTTGTCGCGCCTGCACATGCATGGAGGAGGGCTGCGACACGGCATCCCTGCAGGAGCGTGTGGGGCGGCGGCTTCAACGCGTGTTGGCGCGGCTGCTGCCACCATGCGCGTCGGCGGTCGCTCAGCCCACTTCTTTGGCGCCGGCGCCAGCCTCTGCGCGCCCGCCTGCCGTGCGCCCTGCTGCCGCGTCTCCTCCGTCGGCGGACGAGGCCGACGCGGGGGACTTCGAAGGGGATACCCCGGCCGCAACCTTTGCGTGGTCCGACGCTCGTGACGACGGGGGTTGCCCGTCTCGCCGAGCTGAGATCGTGGCGCTGCTGCTGGCGAGTGAAATGGGCCTCGGTGGACAAATCTTTAATGCTTGCGTGGACGGCTTTGCGAGGCAACCCCCGCACTGTCATCCTTCGCTGCACCAGCTGCTGCGTTCAACCCTCTTTCTCGCACTGACGAACTATCGTTGCGGCGCAACACATGTTAAGCATGAGGCCGCTTTGCAAGAGGCCTCAGCGCCGCCCCTGCAGGAGTCGGACTGTGCACTCACGTTGCTGCTCCGAACGGCGGCGGCGACGGTGGCGAGCAGCGAGTCCTGGTGGGCAACAACTTCAGGCGAGGAGGCTTTCCTAGAGCGTGAGGATCCTCCGACTGCAACGATGCTAATGGCTGACGCAGATTCTCTCGTGGGGGGAATGTGTGACTTTGTCGTTACTGTGGCACAGCAAGTCGCCGCAGGGAGGAGCGAGACGCAGGCTTCCCCGCCTGTTCGCTGCAGCAGTAGTTTGTACATGCAACGGAGAGGAAGTGCAGGCTGGGGTGCATTTGGGACGGAACGATGGTTTGCAGCCATGGGTGACGATTCCTTTCCTCACCTGCAGGAAATACCAAATATTGCGGAGGTTTTCAAGACAGAATCTTTTTCTCTGGGTCGCGCTGCCGCTGCTGCTTGTAGCGGCAGCAGTAATAATGCTGAAAGTGGCAACAATGAGGCGTTGTCGGAGATCGGCAGTGCTCTCGCTGTCATAAGTGAGGCCTGTGAAGCCCGCACCGTGCCAGACATGTCTCCCTGGCAATACGGCCGGAATCGAATTACTTTGGCCTCTCTTACAGTCGTCTTGCAGCAGGTTTCGGAGAGTGCTATCTCCACCGAGGAAAATGGGCAGACGGCGATGGGAGAAGAAACTGTGCAACATGGCGATAGCAACACAAATGTTGACAACCCAACGCCGGAGTATGTTGTGCAAGAGGATGGGACGCATGAACTTTTGGGTTATTTTCTGCACGAGACAGCGACGCTGTACACGGCCCGTGGGGGACGGTACCTCATGGAGATCGACTAAGCGCGGAACTCCAACTCGCTGAAGATGCGAGCGGGCAAGAAGAATAAAAATGGGCAATAATGACCCGTAAGGGGCAAAAATGGATGAAAAAAAAGGATACGTTTGGGAGGTTTTGCTAGTTTGTTGCTAAGACCTCTCTTTTACGTGTTTAGTTAGTTATTATTATTATTTTTTTTTTTTTGTTGGCAGGGTTGAATTCCCTTCTGCATTCCCATCATGGACTCCGTCGTGGCTTTTTATTGCTGCTTAGAGGATAAACCTCTCCCGCCCTTCCCGCCTCACTTGCTCGCCTTTTCCCTTCGCTGGCCTCCTGCAACTTGTGGGGGTGTGGCGCACAGCAGGGGAGTCGTAGGAGGGCTGGCGTCGATCCGGGGGGGGGTGGTGTGTGTGTGCAGAAGGCATGCCTCTAAGGAGAAACGTTGTGTTGGTTGGTGTGTCCGGATGCAGTGCGTCTGGCAAAACAACGCTGGCGAATCGTCTTGTGGAGCTGCTCAACTCGCCACTTCGACCAATTGGTCTGGATGACTTTTTTGACGAGGCGATGTGTGAGGCGCTGGGCACGTGGGAGGACCCACGATGCATCCGTAGCGGAGACTATGCGAGGTTTCTGTGCGAGATTCGGCAACGTCTTCAGAGCGACGATCGGTGTGCTGCCGAATGTCTACACGATGTGGTTGGGGCGGGTGCGTTTCTGCGCTCGCGGCCCGTTGGGCCGTTGGCGACGACGGCGCCGCAGGACTCCGTCTCAGGTGCCTCGTCGAAAGAGAACGTGGAGGAATATGCGGTGTCATTCCATTGCGCTGCCGAGGCCGCCGCCTTGCGCGCGGGATGTGAGAATGAAAGCACCATCTATATCGTGTGCGAGGGATTTCTCTTGTTTTTGGATCAAGCTGTCTGCGAGGCGCTGGATTACTTTGTTATTCTTGAGATAGACGAGGAGACCGCCTCGCTGCAGCGCTTCTTGCGTTTTCCCCGGCGTCATATGCGTCGTCAGGGGTACGGAGAGCGCATCGAGCGTATGCTTCGTTGCCGGCAGAGTCGCTTGCTGCTTACCGCTCCCACCACAAATAACGCGCTGCTTCCCCCGTCGTTTGCGCAGCTGCTTCCAAACCTGCAGTACGTCCCACCGCTGCCCTCTCTGGCGGGTGAATATGAGCAGTTTTGGCTGCAACGGGAGTATCTGCAGCACCCACCACCTCCCATGCCACCCAGCACGGGCGCCGCACAAGAGGCATCCTCGCCGTACTTGTGGATGGAGGTGAAGGATCCACTCTATGTCACACACGCACTACAACATTCACGTCTGGCTGCATCCGATGTGAGTGCGTTGAGTAACTCTGCCCCTGCCCCAGCGTTACATCAAGCCAGTAATATTAATAAGGGCACGGATGGAGCTTCTGAAACGGACAGGGTATCCATGTTGCAGAAGCAATACTTTGAGTTCCGTTACTGGTTCTACTTTGAGGTGCTATACTACTACCGTCAAATGCGGCCTGTAGAAGAGGAGGCGATCACCAGAGCATACCGGCAACGTGGTCACGGGAGTGATGGGATTTCTCCAATTCTGCGTATGGCCGCAGGTGTGGATGTGCCGGACACCAAGCTGGAGAAGGAGCTGCTCTCCTTTGTGCAGCACTTGATGCAGTCTCCGTACAGTGGCGGAATCCGTGACGCCAGGGCGACCCACCAAGCCGGTTCTGTATAATCTTGTTGCTGCCCTGCCTTTGCTTCCCCCTCTCTCTGTGTGTCCTCCTCCCTGCTATCCTCGTTTCACTCCGCCTCTCTTGCGACTGTAGAAGTGGACTCTGATGCCTCGCTTGCTCTCTTGCTTTGTGTAGGTGCGAGCACCTGGCCTGAGCCGCCTGATGGAATTTCTTTTCAAGTTGAAAATTGCCCATGCATGCAAGCATTCCCTTCTGTTTTTTTCTTTTCCCCGGTTCAACCGGCGGGCTTTTTTTTTATTTTATTTTCGCTGGGCGCCGCAGAAGGAACGTGATAGCGCGAAAGATTGAGCGAAAACAATACCACACGAAGGGGGCGGAAGTTGAAGAGAGGGACATTTGTCTCTGGGGCACGCTGAAGAGATACAGTTAGAAAAAAAAATAACAATAAACGCCATTAAAAATGGAGAGGGTGCCGATGTATGCGGAGTACCCCCGGCCAAGGGACAGCGACAGCGGCTGCCTCCGGTTCTTCAGCGCGCTGCTGATGGGGATGAATATACTCCTGACAGCTGCTGCCGTCGCAGGCCTGGCCATTGGCCTGCTGGAGCGCAGCACTATGGAGGCGACGCTGAAGGAGTTGTGTTTGTCGTGCCACACAATGTTTATTGCGTACATTGCGGTCCTCAGTGTGCTCCTCGGCTTTTCACTGCTCGGCTTCTTTGCCCTCTGCACTCGTAATACGTTTCTGCGTGTGATGTACTTCATCTACCTGTTCTTGGTGTTTCTGGGGGCCTTCGCCATTTCCCTCGCGTACTTCCTCGTCAGCACGAACCAAGTCAACATGGAGGCAAACTGGGACAAGGCCACCGTGAGCAGCCCCCAGGACATTTGCTCCCTCGAGCTGCAATTTCACTGCTCCGGCTGGAAGACGCTCTGCAACACTTCACCTGTGAAAGGCACGCACTTTCTGACCCGACAGGACGGTCTGCCGTTCCTCACGGGGGGAGACGAGCGGACACCCGCGAATAATGCGGTTCCACTGGCTGTTTCTGCCGACCCCGCCCTGCAGGTTTTCTGCCCCGTCTGCAGCGAGGAGGATCAAAAAGAAATCAATCAATACAACAGCACATGTGAGTCTGTTGTGATGGGCGCCATTAAGCACCACATGAAGGAAGTGCTTCCGATTGGGCTCTCCATCACAGTCATTGCCCTCCTTGGGATGATTGTGACATGTCTGCTGCGGCGCGAGAAAAACCGCGACGAATATTACGGCGGCCGTTACTACCGAGTGTAGCTCAGTCAATGCGCACACATGTTTATATACGTATGCGTGTGTGTGTGTGTGTGTTTGTGGGAGGTTAGTTTGACGCTCCCGCTGAAGTGTTTTCGTATTTTTTTTGTCATGCTTTACGTTTGTTTCTTCCTTTTCATCTTTGTTTTTGTTTTTGTTGTTTGCTTTTTGAGTTGAAGCGGCTCCCGTACCCATTACTTCTTTCTTCCACCGCTTCTGGGCCCGGGGAGGCGCGCCCGTCCCCTTTTCGTTGTCGTTGCTGCCGCTGTCTGTGTTTGTCTGCGTGAAGGAGCCGCCGCCGCCGCCGGCCGG